ATAGCAAATTTATCAGTCCTAGGTCACTTCTGGTTTGTGTTTTGCTTAGAAAGCCTCCTTTTGAAGATTATAAGCAAGTCCACTCATATTTCCCTCTAGRACTTCCATGGTTTACTTTGTTATGTTTAAACTAGGAACTGGAATTCAAGCCCCTTTCATCCCAGGTCTCAGATGTCTTGCCTATTTTATTTTCCTGTGTATAATTTTAAAACAAAGTACTTTTTTCAAATTAAATAATAAATGTTGGTAGCAAATAATGGAAGCATTTCTGCAACTTGTGATAAACCTCATTTCTTAGGGTAAAGCATTTACAAATTGGAAACTATTAGGTTTATTTTTCTGCTTAATTAAAATTGAAATTCTACTGAAATCATAGTTTTACTCTATAACAATGTATTTTTCCCCGATCCCTTCTGGTCATTTTAATCTCTTTGCACAAGTGCCCCAAAACATTTGCCTTTTATAAATATAGAGCATACTTAATTTTAAAAATTGAGTATATTTCATTTTATTAGAGATTTATAAAAGGTAATGTTATGTATCTAAATGTAAAGTCTGTAGAATGCCTCAGAACAGATGAGCACATCTCTGGCTTTCTGCATGGCTGGTTGTGCAGAGCAGGTGTTCTGTGGGCAGTTGAAAGAAGGGCGTGAAATGCTGTAGAGCCCAAACTGGGAGCTGGGGAGAGGCACAGGCTGGGTCAGAGTAGCTTTCCTTTTCATAAGTTTTGCTTTTTCTTTTGAAGGTTTTGCCATTGGGAAGGCCACTGAGCGGGTGGATGCTTTCAGGAAAGTAAGTGCATGTTTTTCTTTGTTAACATTTAGTAGAAGATGAAAAGCTCTGTGTTCACATGGGGGCACTGCAGGCACACAGTCACGTATCATGAAGGAATCGTCAGTGTATGTGCGATAATGATATTGTGGCTAAGTCCTTATCTTTTAAGGTGCATAGGTGGAATTTTTTATAATAAAATACTTTATAAAATAGTTTTGAAACCCAGCGAGAGATTTAGGAGAATTTGTTCCTTCTTTTCTTCAGGCAAAGAACAAAGCCATCCACTATTTGCATTACATAGAGCGGTATGAAGACCATACAAGTGAGTGTGGGTCTTTTCTTGTAAGATTTGCAGAATGCCACTGTGTCATGGTGTGTCTGTGACATGCCCAGTGGGTGTCTTTGTGTTGYTCTGACTGCATTCTTACAAATGTGCAAAATGGCCTGGGGGGGTGGCAGGAGAATGAGTGGGGTCAGCGTCTGTGTGTCCTGTGGGCTGGCTGCTTAGGGCAGCACCCAGTGCTCTGTGGCTTTTGCAGACATTAAAGCCACATGCCTGACCCTCCTGTGTCTGCTTTACCCCCCAGTATTCCATGACATCTCGTTGAGATATAAGAGGACGCACATCAAGATGAAGAAACAGCCCAGAGGTAACTGGAAAGCTCGGACTCTCTGTTGAACATAAAGCAGAGAAACCACCACAGTCCCACCCTCCCCCCTGGGGTTGTTCGCCTCTCCTTGAACTCATCCTGAGAGTGACAGATGGGAAGGCCTGAATTAGGCTGAGGAAGGCGAGGCTCCTGGGGAAGAAGCCAAGGTTGGGCTGCATAGGCCCAGGCCTCTTCTGGAGTGGCTGAGGCGGGTGGAGCAGGTGGTGGTCGGGTTGGATGAGTGGGCACGTGGTTCCTCCTGGAGCCTTCACCCAGCTGGACAGTGTTCCTTCCTGCCAGTCACGTGCTGTTCCTCTACGTGCTGTTCCTCTACAAGTGTTGTGGTGTTAGGCTTGTTATTTGGTGCTGGGGATTAAACCAGAGCCCCACACCTGTGAAGCACGCGCTGTCACGGAGCTCCCCCCAGCCCCTCACCATTGAGTACTGTTGAACTTCTATGATCTCTATTCATTGAGGCACTGGGTGAGCAGAAATGGCCTTTCCTGTCTTGTGGACAGGCCACAGGTTGTGTTGATTATGGGGACAGTCACACCCAGTGCACTTTGGTGCAGAATTCTTAAACATTTGGATTTGCATTTTGCTTGCAGTTCTGTAGTAAGAACCTGTTTCATTTGACTGTAGTTTTTTAAATCTCATGAGTTCAGATCAGGAGCTGGGCGGAGTGGTGCACACCTGTAATCCCAGTGACACTCAGAAGGTTGAGACAGGAGGATTGCAAGTTCCAGGCCAGCCTCAGCAACTTAGTGAGGCCCTAAGCAACTGAGCTACTGCCTTGTGCCTTCCTCAATGCTGTCAAGAGGAGGAGGAGGGCCACCTTCATCAGGGTGGCCAGAGGTGGCCTCTGAGCAGGGGCAGTGTGAGTGAGATCCTGAAGGAAGAGGAGCAGAGGGGGCAGGCCTGGGAGAACGTTCCAGGCTGGGGCATGCCCCACGTGCAGTGTGCCCTCGTGCACAGGCCATGTGAGGACAGTGCAGTAGGCGGGGTCAGGCACGGTGTGTGTGTGTGTGTGTGTGTGTGATAATGATATTGTGGGGGAAGATCCTGCAGATGTCTTTGTTTAATTCAGAGAGCAATGGCAAGTGAGAGGTTGTGCCCCGGAGCCTTGTGTTGCTGAGGATCAAACCCAGTGCCTCACACATGCCGGGCAAGCGCTCTGCTCTATAGCCCCAGCCCTGGCTTGTGTTTTTGAAGCTCTTCTCGGGGAGGGATTGCCGGTGGCCAAGAGCAGGGCACATGGCTAGAGGGGAGGAGACCAGCCCAGCACTGAAGGCCATCAGGGAGGTGAGAAAGCACTTCAGGAGCCACCAATTCAGGAGACGCTGCCACTTAGGCCAGAAGGTGTTCCCAGGAGAGGGAAGTGGTGTCACTGCCAGGGCAGCTGAGTGCTCTAGGAGGGTGAGGACAGGCGTCTCCTTTGATGGTAACCAGGCATGGACACGGGAGCTGGCCTGGGCAGAGGGCCAAGAGTTTTCAGGCACTTAAGTCTTAATCTAAGTAATATCCTGGTGCCCCTCCCCCCCACTACGTTTAAGGTAGATGTTCTGTTTAATTTTTGTACATACCATTGAATAAATGTCGTCCTAGAAGTCACACCAGCTGGGGGTGGTGAAGCCAAAATGTCATTCCCTAAACCCAGAGCCACACGAAAGACAGCATGCTGGCAGGTGCTCAGTCCATTTCCTGTCTCCTAGGATACGGCCTCCGCTGCCACAGGGCCATCATTACCATCTGCCGGCTCATTGGCATCAAGGACATGTATGCCAAGGTCTCTGGGTCCGTCAACATGCTCAACCTCACCCGGGGCCTYTTCCATGGGCTCTCGCGCCAGGTAACCTTCCCTGGGGTTTGAGCAGGTCTGGCTGTGCTGCAGACCAAGGTGCTGAGGGTCTCCTAGGGTCTCCCACGGCCCCCTGCTGCAGTGACCCCAGGGCTCTGCTGCCCAACCAGAGCTAATCTTGTTTCTCAACATCACCTCATCGAGTTGTTTTGAACCAAATCTCAGGTCCCATTTTATTTCATTCGTAAATATTTCAGTGTATCTGTAAAGGATCCATTTACTTCTATGGTAGAGCGCTTGCTAGGAACACTTAAGGCCCAGGTTTGATCCCCAGCACCGGGAAAAAAAAAATGTCATGGTACCCTTACCATTCCTAAATATCATGACTCAGTATTATCAAGTATAGAATCTGTTCATTCAAATCTATCCATTCGTCCGATTTAAAAACATTTTTTTTACACAGTTTGATTCAATCCCGTTGATTTGATTCAATCCAGTTGAGAAGATGTCAGCACTTCTAAAGTTTCTCCTGTGTCTTTTAAGTCTCTCTTGGTCTGTCCCTCTCTCTTCCCCCCTTGCTGCTGTTGTGTTGAGGAAGTCAGGTGGTTTGTCCCATAGTGTTTCCAGGGTTGAGCACCCGTGGGGTCCTTGATGTTCTTTCCCCCCCTGGACCTCCTGTGATTTGGTTGTTAGATCTCAGGGCTCCACCAGGTTCAGGCTTGGTGCTTGGCCCAGCAGGCCCGTGCTTAGGGAGTTTGGAAGGCGAGGCCTGGCGTACCCCAGTTTGGGGTGGGAAGGTGGGCTGAGGCGTCCCCCTGTGACAGCCACTGTGGTTTAACCACCCAGAATCAGCTGGCACTGCTCTTTCCCCCAAGCTCTCTGGTGGGTACTGCACCCCCACCCCCACCCCACCCCTGTGGTGGTGCCTCTCACTCCTATAGCCAYAGGGACCCTCRGAGACCTAAYTRCTGTTCTCACTTTGGTCTTGCCCAGGAAACCCACCAACAGCTGGCCGACAAGAAGGGTCTCCATGTGGTGGAATTCCGGGAGGAATGTGGCCCCCTGCCCATCGTGGTCGCCTCCCCCCGGGGGGCCTTGAGGAAGGATCCTGAGCCAGAAGAGGAGGTTCCCGACATCAGGCTGGACTGGGAAGAGGTGAAGGCTGCACAGGGAATGAAGCGCTCTATTTGGTCTGGTCTCAAGAGGGCCGCCACCTGACCTTCCTGCCACCGATCTTCCTGCCACCTGGCTCCCCCACTGCAACACCGTGCCTGCTGCCCTAGGCGCCTGGGGACTCCCCCCTCACATCTTGCCGTGTCACCTCTTTTTTTTTTTTTGAGGAAATGTCAACCTTCTTTATTTACAAATAAATAATTCTAGTTTTGATTTATTGATCACATGATCTGTGCCAGGCAGTGTGTCAGGGACGTTACACACAGACCTCGTTCAAGACTACTTTAAATACTCGCTGAAACCACCAAAAAGTAAATAGAGCAGGGAGACAGGAAAAGACCCACCCAGGGGTAATGTGCACAGGAACGTGAAGGGCTGTGGTGGCTGTGCCCGACGCCCACCCATCCCTGGGAGGTAACCTCCCGCTCTGTCCCTCACAGCTGCACCCACCTCCAGCAGGGCCCAGGCTGCCCTGGTGGCAGGAAGTGCCTCGTTGTTCCGACTTGTACATCAATTACCAGCAGCGGGAACATCTTGTCAAACGCTTGACGCCGCTTGTGTGGTGTCCGGAGAAATGTCTCTTCACCTCTTTTTGCCTGTTTGAAAAATTGGGTTATTTGTGTTTTTATCATTGAGTTGTAATGATGCTTTAGCATTGTGGACACAGGCCCTGGTAAGGTGTGTGACCCACCATGTTCCTTCTCTGTGGGGCGGATCATCATTTCCTGTTTCTTTGAATACTTTCTCTGTCCCTGTCCTCCTCTGATCCACTGCCGACCCAGGTAGGCCCTTGTTACAGTCCCCCAGCCCGGCGCTTTCTCTGTGATTCAGATTGGGTGGTTCCCATTACTGTCCAGGATTAGTTCCTCTTTCCTCTCTTCTGCTCTCAGACCATCCACCCAGTATTTTTATTTTGGCTGTTGTATGTTCCAGTTCTAAATTTCCATTTGATTCTTCCTGATATCTTCTATTTTTTTGCTGAGACTTTCCAGTTTTTTGCTGTTTGGTGGTGTTTGTGATTTGCGCTGAAGCATTTCCACGATGGCTGTTCAGAATCCTTGTCATGTAGCTCCAACATCTGTGTCACCTCAGTGTTGGTTTCTGTTGTCCCCTGGGTAGAGTTGCACTTCCTGGGTTTTGGCATAATCAATAGTGGTATCTCACACATTTTCGTTACTGTGTTCTGAAACCCTGGGGTTGATGCGTCTTTCCCAGCAGCCTCCTCTGCCACCCTGGTGGTGGAATGGTCACCTTGGGAACGTGACCGTGACCACCAACTGCAGAGGATGTGCAGGCCCTGCTGCGGTTTACCCCAGGCCTCTGACTGCACCTGCAGGACCGGGAGAGAGCCACCCTGGCCTGGTGCTGCTGAGTTCTTCTGTGGCTTCATGGGGTGTGGGCAAGGCCGCATTTGTTTTTCTTGCAATATTTGACTGGATGGAGGCAGTTATCGATTGAAAGTTTCTGTCTTGTTGGGTCACCCTCCCTCCAGGATCTAACAAAAAGATATTTTAGATGTGGGGAATGAAGCAATCCTGTGTACTACTAGAAAATGGGGCTGCAGGAAGGTTCACTCCCTCACGACCAGGTGCCTTYCCTGAGTTGAGGACATGGGTCTGGTAACTGAGGGCTGTCAAAAGTAACCAGAGTTGATCAGGTTTCTTTAACCAGCAATAAAGAGGAAGTCTCAAAAGTGAGCAGGAAATAAAATAAAAGATTGAGTACAAAGAAGCGAGGATACAGAGCACAGCGGATTTCCTATCCAAAAAAATGGAGACTAGGAGACGGTGGACGAACATGTTTAAGATACTGAAAGAAAACAATGCCACCCTCAATTCTTTTTTTCTCTTTGTTGGTATCAGGGATTGAACCCAGGGGTGCTTAATCACTGAGCCACATCCCTAGCCCCTTTTATTTTTTATTCTGAGGGTTTTGCTGAGTTGCCTAGGGCCTTGCTAAACTGCTGAGGCTGTCCTTGAACTTGGGATCCTCCTGCCTCAGGCTCCTGAGCTGTTGGGATTATAGGCATGCACCATCACACCAGCCACCCTACAATTCTTCGCCTGGTGACAATATTCAAAAACAAAGGCAAAATGAAGGATTTCCCAGAAATCATAAAATCAGAAAGAATCAGCAGACCTCTATCATAGGAGTCAGTGAGGGAAATTCTTCAAGCAGAAGAAAGATGGTTACAGGTAGAAACCTTGATTTGCACAAAGGAAAGAAGAACTCGAGGTGGTAACTAGGCAGGTGCACCTGCATGCTAGAAGGATTGCATGTACCTGTTTCCCCCTGGTTTTATCATATTTAGGAGTGGTTAAAGCAAAAATTATGCAACATTTTTTTTAACACATGTAGATGTGCAATGTTTGATAACAACACAGAGACCAGGTAGGAGATGTGGAAATAAGTGGGTCACATGATTCTTGCACGAGAAGTAATAGGATCATTTGAAGGTGCCCTGGTTAAGGTAAAGATATGCACTAAAACCCTATTGTAAAGGAGTCACTAGAGTGACACAAAGCTGTAGCTATTAAGCCAACAAAGAGAATGAGGTGCAATCTTAAAAATAGCTCTTTGTGCTGGGTGCAGTGGCACACACCTGTAATCCTAGCTGCTCTGGAGGCTGTGCAGGAGGTTCGCAAGTTCAAGGCCAGCCTCAGCAACTTAGCAGGACCCTGTCCCAGAAAGGGCTGGGCAAACATACAATGCTCTTGATTTGTTGATCATACATATTGCTTTGATTAAAGTCCAAACATAACAAGTCTTTAGAGACATTTTGTATCAAATGAAAACATTGTGCTTTTACAAGTTACTACATAATACAGAAATTTAGTACAAAAAACCAAAATGCAGGGGCTGGGGCTGGGGCTCAGTGGCAGAGTGCTTGCCTTGCACATGGGAGGCAGTAGGTCCAATCCTCAGCACCACATAAAAATAAACAAATAAAATAAAGGCATGCTGTCCACCTACAACTACAAAAAAAAAAAAAAAGTCTGGAGATGTGGCTCAGTGGTTAACCACCCCTGGGTTCAATCCCCAGTTTAAAAAAAAAGCAAAATGCAAAAAAGTGTATGTATATATAGCTAATAAAATAACCGGAGGAATGTAATGCTTGTTTATTCTGTGTGTGTCCTTGCAGCCTATTTTACATGTATGTATGACATGACATACGTGTGTGTGTGTGTGTGTGTGTGTGTGTGTGTGTGTCTTTTATATATAAAAGAGACTGAAATGTCTATCCAGGCAGAATACGTGACTAGACCTGAGCCTGTGCAGGGAGTTTGGGTGACCATTAACTATGCTGATCTGATGGACCACAAGTCAGAATGTGTATTATCTACACTTCTGTCAGCCACAGTAACAAATCTCCAAACATTAGTTTCCCTGCACACTCTGTGTTCATGATATTACAGTGCTGTAATACCCTTCTTTGTAATTGGCAGTTTTCCTTGCACTTAGTTAATATAGTCTGACATTGATACAGTGACTACGGCTTTCTTTTCACTAGAGTTAGCATGGCATTTCTCTCTTCGATACTTTACTTTTAATCTACAGCAGTCCCCTCTTAACCATGGTTTAGCTTTCCACAGTTTCATTTACTTGTGGTCAAATGCAGTCCAAAAATATCAAGTGGAAAATTCCAGAAATAAAAAATTTCCTAAGCTTAAAATTATATATCATTCTGTATAATGCTGTGAAGTCTTGTGCTGTCCCTCCTGAGGTATGAATACTGTTTGTCCAGAGTATCAACAATGTATATACTACCTGCCCATTATTCACTCTTGGTAGCCATCTTGGTTATCAGATGGGACTGTTGCACTACCTCAGTGCTTACATTCACATACCCTTCATTTTACTTAATAGTCCCAAAGCATAAGAGGAGTGATGGTGGCATATTTATTGTAGTATATTATGGTTATTCTATTTAACTATTAGTAATCATTGTCATTCTCTTAATTTATAAATTAACTAAGTATGAAGACATAGGGGGAAAACCCAGTGTATATAGGGTTCAGTGCCATCTGCAGCTCAGGCATCCATTGGGGGTCTCGAGATGCACCCCTGGGTGGGGAGCACTACTGTATATTTCAAGTGGAATTCTAGACACCATACGGTTGGATCTTGTTTTCTGAACCCCCTGATAACCTGTTAATTGGTACATTTAGGCCCCTGACGTATAATGTGATGATTGATCCAGTTGAATTAGTATCTGCTGTGCTTGGTACCATTCTCTGTAATCGCCCTGGTTCTTTGTGCCTGTTTTTTTCTGTCACTTCTTTCCTGCCTTTTGATTCCATCTACTCTCATTTCTGAGCACACGTGTTATACTTCTTTTTAAAAACCTTTTTTAGTGGTTGCAATGTACACTGACAACTAACCCAGGTCCACTTTCGGATGACACTGCCGGGTCGAGACTGGTGTCAGTACCTCACAGCAACAAAGCATTCCTGGTGCTCCTGCCACCCCACGTCACACTGTCATCTCACATGTACGTATACAGTTCTCATCGGGGACATTTGTTAATTTTGTTCTGAACAAACTTATGCAAGAAAAATTAAGTTGTTATTCTTTTTTATGTAAGTCTCTTTCCGGCCGAGATCATCGTCCTTGTCTTTAAAGGACTTCTTTTAGCATTTCTTGCCAGGCAGCGTCCTGGTGACACAGTCCCTCTGTGGTGTGTCTGAGAGTCTCTATTTCTCTTCACTTTGAAGGCTGAGTTTTCAGGACATGGCTGTAGGTTGGGGGGCTTCCACCTCAACACTTCTAAGTGTTTTGCTCCACGCTCTTCCTTGAATACTTTTTGAGCAGATGGATATAATGTGTCTCTGTTCCCAGAGGGCGGGCTTCTTCCTCTGGCCCCTTTAAGGTGGGTGTGTTTGAAGGTGGTTCTGCTTTGGTGTTGGCTTGGCTTTCTCTTGGTGCTGCAGTTTGGATTCCCCGAGGCCAGGTGGGGTTCCTTTGTTGTTCCTTCTGCTTGGAGTTCTCTGAGCCACTTTGATTTGGTATTTTTTTTAATTTATTTTTTTATTAGTTGCTCAAAACTTTACAATGATCTTGACATATCATATATCATACATTTGATTCAAATGGGGTATGAATTCTTATTTTTACCACGTGTACAAATTGCAGGGTCACATTGGTTATACTTCCACGTTTATACATACTGCCATACTAGTGTCTGTTGT